GTCGTTTACCATAGCGTTCATTTAGTGAGTATAGTATATTTGGAACAGTTCGACCTCTCTCCAGCTTCGTCCCGATGGTCCCTTTATATGTGTGGCTGGGGTGCGGCCACACCCTTTCCCCTTTCCGCCCGTCCTCTGGTGAGCTTCGGCCATTTCCGCCAAGGGGAGCCGAAGCCCTTTGGCCTCCTCCTCCCCTCTCTCCCCTCCCCTCCTGCCGGGCCTTTGCTGTCTGCTGCGGGGTGCCACCTGCGCCATCCCTCGGCCGCCTCCCCCCACCCTTAAGCCGGCCTACCCCTGGCCAGCCCAGTGGAGCTCCAGCGGAGGCAGAGCATCTCCTCAGCCTGCCCGGCTGTGCACGCTCTCCACCCCCCCCTCACAGCGAGCCAGCTACGGCCTCGCCAAGGCGGCTGTGACGGGGCAGCAGTGGCGGTGTCAGCCTGAGGTGCAGCGGGGCTAGGGCAGCCCCTGGGTGCCCTGTGAGGCGGCACACCGAGGACTTCTCCTCCGAGATCCTGGACGTCTCACTCTCCCGGGCCACCGACTTGGGGGAGCCCAAGCGCAGCTCCTCCGAGGAGATACTCAACAACTTCCACGAGGCCGACAGCCCTGGCGCCGTCTCCCCCAGCCAGCCTCGCCCGGCCCAGCAGCCCCAAGTCCGGACCAACGGCAGCACTCACCTGCCGCCCCACTACGCCCAGACTGGACCACAGCAACGCATGGCCGAGTACAGCTAGTAACTTTATAAACTCGCAGAGGTTTATACACTGTGTAAAAAAAATAAATTTCACCATTCCCCCCTCCCCTAGAAGTTATGTATAACTTTATAGGTGGGGACACAACATAATGCAACATCTGTTTCTCTCTTTTCTGACAATTTAGGCAAGGTGGACTGTATCCACCATTCTGATATAATGTGTGATTGATTGCCATCAACTCATCCAGAGAGATCTCAGGCCAATATTCCAGCAATGAATTAAAATAGACAAACCTTCCACAAAAATTAGGCCTTCAAAAATGTGTTTTGCTTGATTCTTAGTTGTTTCTCCTAGCACTCAGAAACCTCACAGAAAATGTAGAAAGACACAACTGGACATGGGGCACAAGTTCAACCATTATTTGTGACAACAGGTGTATGATGGAGAAGACAGCTGCCTCCAAGACAACAAGACCACCTTGTCCATTAGGCTCAATATTGTCCAGATAGGAAGGTGGCATCTCAGCAAGATTTCAGAAGGAACCTTTCTCCAGCCTTACCTGGAGATAACAGAAACTAAACCTTGGACCTTTTGCCATCAGGTATGCCCTCTTCTACCAAACTACCTTAGTTCATGTCCCATTTGAGCAGGTTCCTAGAACCTCATCCTGAAAAGTCAGGTCTCCCAGAGAGCATTGGCTTGTAGCTTGTCACCAAAAGTCCTTTGTCCTGTGGTAGGATACCAATTTGATATTGCAAAGGAAACAAGTGCTTCTGAAAATTAGAAAGGTATGCTGCTGCTGACTTTTCTTAGAGAGTTCCTTCTTAACAAAAACAGAAGTCATTCTGCCTCTATTTCCTCCTTGAGAGGTGAAGAAACAAACTCTTGTGAGATAATTCTCCATTTTGGTTGGTCTCATCACCACTATTATGGCACTTAGTGGCCATCAGAATTGTTCTTAGCCTGTCTCAGGGCTGAGGGGAAAAAATTGAACTTTGGGCCAGCGCTAACAGACAATATGAGGCAGCCAACTAGTACAGATAATCTTGGACGTAGAACTACAATTGAGCCCAAAATTTCTGTTGCTAAGCAAAACAGTTGTTAAGTGTGTTTTGTCCCATTTTATCACCTTTCTAGCCATTGTTGTTAAGTACAGCCCAGGTAAGGGCAGCCGAGAAGATTATAGGAAGCTCACTTCCTTGTAACGTTCCCGTGGTTCGTTCATGAGGCCAATGTTGAGAAAAGACAAGACACAACCTTTCTCAGGATGGAGCGACGACCCAGATTGGGGGTCTGNCAACCCTGAGCCGGTGAGATTTGAACAGCCGAACTGCAGTCAGCTGAAGTAGCCTGCAGTGCTGCATTTAACCACTGCACCACCTCGGCTCTTAAGTTGAATGCTTCGATTTCTTCTAGGAAACGTATGGCTTTTCCACACCCTAAATCTTCCGTCAGTTTATTTTTGGGAGTTTTTCCCCCTCCCCCCACCCTGTCAGAGTCCCCAAAAAATTTGCCACCATTTTGGTTTCAAATTTTTTTACTAACGGTTCTGTGGGCCCAGCTAGGTGGGGTGTGTGTGTCATGTGACTGAGTGGGCGTGAGTGATGCCACATTGGCCACGCCCACTCAGTCACATGCCCCCACCTAGCTGCGCCCACAGAACCGGTAGTAAAAAAAATTGAAACCCACCTGCTATATATGTTGTCTAAAAAATAAATAAAAAAATAAGTGTCCCCCTGTAGCAGACATGGGAACTGCAGGTAACTTTGAGGAAGCTGCCATTCACTGGATGACAGCTAACACTTGTCATGTTTTTCCACAGTTTAAGCAGCTTCTAATGAATTTCACATCTTGTCTTTTATCATTAATAGAGACAAGTATGAGCAATCTATCAGAATCATTATATTTTTATAATACTGCAAGACTCATGGTTGCTTTAGTCAAATTCAGATCAGTCTTAAGGTAGTCTTCTCCTCAATCCAGTTCTTCAAGAAACATTGATCATCATCAAGCTTGAACAACCAAGATGACCAATAGGTGCAGGAAAGACTCAGGAGCTTTATGGGTCTCCTAGCTGGCATTAGAGCAAGATGAAAGCCAGTGGGGTTGAGGGGTAGGTTGGATCAGGAGTCCACCTTCTGCCATGCACCAGTCACTCTCAGCCCAACCATCTACTCTGGTGGTTGTTCTGCAAGAAAACAGGAGGAAAGAGCTGTATGTATGCTGCTTTGGGCTTCTGAATGAAAGGTGATATTATAGCTTGATCAATAAATACAGTTGAGTGGTTGAGTGGTTGATGTTCACTTGGATGAGAGCCATGGCCAAAAGACCACAAGGGGGCAGTGGGTTTGTAGTTCCAATTCTATATTGAGACTCATAAAACTCAAGTAGCCAAAACTTTCTCTGAGGCTCAAATCAATCAGAATAGAGCTGAAAGGGACCTTGAAGGTCTTCTAGTCCAACCCTCTGCTCAAGCAGGAGACTTCATACTATTTCAGACAGGTGGCTGTCCTCAAATCTGGTTGTATACATCTGATGAATGAGTCCCAATAATAGGAGAAAACAGGTCACATGCTGCCTCCTGGTGTGTGTGTATGTATGTGTATGTATGTATGTATGTATATATACATATACATATACATATACATATACATATACATATACATATACATATACATATACATATACATATACNGCTTAGAGAGGGCTGAAAACCCTATGAAGCGGTATATAAGTCTAACTGCTATTGCTATTGCTATAAGGGAGGGGAATAAGGAGGAAGACGAAAAGGACTGTAGATTCCTTGGTGCTCTCTGAGCTTGGTTGTTTTCTTGCAGATGTTTCATTACCTTATTAGGTAACATCGTCAGTGCTAGAAGGAAGTGGTTGCTCTCATTTTATGCCACCGGTATATAAAATCCCACGAGTATATAAAATGAGAGCAATTCCTCATTTAGAAAAAATATCCCCAGTGCACCTACTTGAGAGGAAGTGTTGAGATCCTGGCCCAAAGTCCCGGTGAGCATCTTGAAGGTGCTTCAGACGGTCATTGATGGAGACCTGTGTGGAAGATGGACCCATCAAACTTAAGTTGTGCGAAAAGTTCAGCCTTTCGGTCCGAGCAAGCAGTTCGTGCCTGAGCAACATCTAGAGGCCAGCTGTTCTCCCGCCGAATCCTCCCCATGGGATTAGTTCAGCACAACCCAAATGTGCCCATTCACAGGGAAAGCTGAAGTTGGGTAATAACCCAACCGATAATAACCGATAAAAACATACACAACAGGTTGCTTCCAAGTCTGCTTGTCTATATTTTGGGAAGTATGGGAGTGGGGGAGGAGGATCTGGGTCGAAAGCAGACCAGACTAGGCACCAGGTTGCTCCAAGTCAGTGACGGCAAACCTTTACGGCACCGACTGCCGAAAACGGAGCATGCGTGTGTGGTTGTTGGGCTGCAACCTGAAAGAGGAGCTGTCTAGGGGGGTATGCGTGCACCAGAAATGAACTTCTGATTTCCAGCACGGGCACGGGTGCTGGCAAGCTAGTCTTCTGGTTACTGGCACACATGCACATGTGGCAATCAGCTGGCTGGCACACATGCTCAGGCCTGAAAACGGAAGACCAGCTCTTTCAGTTTCTGGCCCTGCCACACACATGAAGGTCAGCTAATCATCACATGAGCACACACGCAAGAAATCCGGAAGAGGAAAGGGCGACTATGTGCATGCCAGGCAACATGGCTCTGCGTGCCACTGCGGGAACGGGTGCCACAGGTTCACCATCACAGCTCCAAGTTTTGTCCAAGGTGTCTCACCTGTAGTTGTTTCCAGCGTGTGTTGATCTGTTCGAGAGCACGGGAGTTCTCCATGGACAGGTGAACGTCGGAGATAGCCAGCTGGTGTGCAAGGTCGTTCACAAGTTTCACCCCGTCTTTCATGGGGGAGAGCTCCTCTTGGAACAACTGGGGAGCCACATCCATCCAAGAAAAAGCAGGAGAGATTAAAGAGCGGGGGAGGGGGAAGAGACAGAGACAGAAAGAAAGGAAATAATTAAATAACCTAGAACAGGGATCACCAACCTTTCGGACCTCAGGGACCACTAAATTTACAGTTTTAAATCCTGTGGACCACTAATATGATCTGACTAATGATTGGCTGGGTGGGCGTGGCTAGGTGGTAATGTGACTGGGCAGGCGTGGCCAACTCAAGGTCACTCACGTCAAGGGGCGCCTCGCTGGCCTCTACTCTACAGACCTGACTCAACACAACATTGGACCCTAGTCACTTTGCATGCTTCTAGTCTTAATGCACAATGAGATGCTCAGTCTACATTTTCTTCATCTGCTTAATTCAGGGGTCAGCAACCTTAAACACTCAAAGAGCCACAAAGGTCCTAACTACATGCCCCCATTCAATTCTGGAGCCAACCACAAGTCCGGTTCCCCCACCATAGAGTCTCCTCCTAGCATGGCATCCTTTTTCCTCTGCCGACCAGAAGTCCGGTTCCCTCACCATAGAGTCTCCTCCTAGCACAGCGTCTTTTTTCCTTTTACTGACCATTTTTCCTTTTACTGCCAGTGATCGGGAGCCTCAACAGAGAGATGAAACAGCCACATGCGGCTCCAGAGCCGCAGGTTGCCGACCCTTGGCTGCAGATCTCTTAGACAAGTGCAGGATGAGTAACCAAAGATTACCTTGGTGGCCTGGATGTGCTCCGGCAAAGAATCGATGAAGAGGTCTCCAATGGGCTCCCATGTCTCTTGCACACTTTCAGCTTGGTTGAGGGTGGTGCTAAGTTCTTCCATGGTCGCCTTGATCTCCAGCAGCTGCTCTAGGGTCCTCTCAATGTGACGGTGCTGGTCGACACAGCGGGCGGTCAGCTTCTCCCACAGTTCGCTGGCCACCGTTGCCTGCTTCCACACAAAACGGCTGATATTCTGGATCCGGTGTCTTGGGGAGACATCTAAAAAAGAGTGCATTGAGGAGGGAGAAGACCTGATGTTGAATTTCCAGTACTGCAATGGTGTCATCAGAAAATCTGATAGACTTTGAGAAGTATTTTATCAATGGTTAGAGGGAAAAAAGGGGAAATTGGAAATTGGAGAAGAAGATGAGTAGAAAATACATTAGGATAGAGGTGTAAACAAGATGACAATTGTTAGTATTATAATGATGAAGATAATCATGATTAATGTTAGTTTCATATTTTTATTAGAAGATACGTTAAGAGAAAAATGAATAGGTTAATAATGCTCAATTGCTTAATATATTGTAATTTTAAGATTAGAGAATTAATATTAATGTGAAATATGTTGTAAATGCAGAAAGCTGTTGCACATAGATATCTGCACCCAGACGACACACAGTTTAAGGAAAGATGAAATGTTTATATGTTGGAAAATAAAAAAGCAAAAAACTTTTTATTAAAAAAAGAAAGTCTTTTTTTTAACAGACTTTCTTTTAAAAGACCAATAAACTTTCAAACATCAGAGTGGAGGGGAGAACATTAGAACAACTTATAGGATCAGACCAATGGTCCTCTTGTTCAGGGCTCTCCAACCTTGGCAACTTTAAGAACTGTGGACTTCAACTCCCAATTCTGGGAGTTGAAGTCCACAAGTCTTAAAGTTGCCAAGGTTGGAGACCCCTGATCTAGTTCAACATTCTGAAATACACCATTTTGGTCAGAAACTCACCAGTATGGAGAGGAGGGTGATCACTCTGTTCTACTTGTGATAACCAACAGCTGGCATCTATTTTATGCTGCTTATGATTCAGGAGGTTGCACAATTTCAGCGATAAATAAATTAGCAGTAGATTAAAAATAGAAGGCGAACAGGTTTTGGGAGGAAAAAGGAGGAGGAGGAGATGGGAGGGAAGGAAAGTTGGATAGCATTGTTTTCACTATGGTTCCAGGTTAACATCCACAAATGTACACATTTCCTCTGCGTGAATGGTGGGGCCTCCTGAATTTATGAGTGCATGGGAAGTCTGTATCATGGATACAGAAGAAACTTCCCAAGGTCACATATGAAGAAGTATAAAAATGTATTTAAGGGAAAGAGGGGAAGTATCTGTGGGCAGAGAGGAAAAATGAACATTCAATGAAGACAGAGCATACTCAGCAGGGGTAGATTGAGAGATGACGGTTTGGAGAAGAGAAATGGAATGATATCCATGGGAAGATCATGGCTACCTGGCTGGCATCCCAGTCAAGAGACAACCCTTGATGTACTGTTGCTGGAATAGCTGGCTATCAATAATTTGGGTCCACTAGGCATCCTAATTTTGAATATTTGATTTTCCCATTTCCTTCAGAAAGGTTGTTATTCATTCTGGGCAACCTTTTCTTATCAAAGGACTTTGGCTAGACTGGGTTTTTAAGCAGCAGTGACCTCCTCTGATGCCTGCTACCGGTTCAGTGAGTCTACTACCGAGCGTGAGCTTTGCGCGCCCTTTGTGTGCGCATGCACACCTGAGGTGCAATCGCGCAGCGCTAAAAAAGGAACATTTTGAAGCCTTCCGAGTCTGCAAAGGGAAGTAGAACTGCCGGTGGGGGGTTGGGGGGAATCCACTATGCCACGTAATTTAGATTAGCTAGAAAGCAGGAAATCCAACGATTCTAGCTAACATAAATCGTGTGTCACAGCTGATCATCGAAAATACCAGTAGCATTTTTCTTTTTTTTTACTACCGGTCTGAGCCACTAGCATTTCACCCCTGCTTTTAAGCCATAAACTATTAATAAAGGTCTCCCTAAGATACTAGCAGGAGCAATAGCACTTAGACTTATATACTGCTTCACAGTCCTTTCACAGCCCTCTCTAAGCGGTTTACAGAGTCAGCCGCTCGTGCCCAACAATCTTGGTCCTCATTTTACCGACCTCGAAAGGATGGAAGGCTGAGTCAACCTTGACCCTGGTGAGATTCGATCTGCCAAACTGCTGGCAGCCGGTGATCGGCAGAAGTAGCCTGCAGTACTGCACTCTAACTATTGCACCACCATGGCTCAATATTCCTTTGAAAAGCAGGAAGGCATTACGGTATCCACTAATACTGTTTGGAGAGATTGTTTTTCAAGATGAGAAGTTAGGGTGAAAGACCAATTCACAA